ATTCTATAACCCAGTAGACCCACTTTAGCTTGGTGGTACTACTGGACGGTAGAATTGAAGGTACGACTATATTCTATATCACAGTAGGCCCACTTTAGCTGGGTGGTACTACTGGACGGTAGAATTGAAGGGATGACTATATTCTATATCCCAGTAGACCCACTTTAGCTAGGTGGTACTACTGGGCGGTAGAATTGAAGGGATGACTATATTCTATATCCCAGTAGACCCACTTTAGCTGGATGGTACAACTGGACGGTAGAATTGAAGGGATGACTATATTCTATATCCCAGTAAACCCACTTTAGCTGGGTGGTACTACTGGACGGTAGAATTTAAGGGATGACTATATTCTATATCCCAGTAGACCCACTTTAGCTGGGTGGTACTACTGGACGGTAGAATTGAAGGGATGACTAAATTCTATATCCCAGTATAGGCATTCACCACATAATGTCTAAAATGACAATCTTGATGTAAGTAAAATATATTTCATTTCAGGCTATTGAATGAAACATAAATATTTGATTACCTCAGTATCCTTTTGGGATAAGAGCGTCTGAATTTGTTTGATCATGTTGTCATATCCATTTATCTGTGACATCATGTTCTGAATAGAAAGGTCCATTTGATGTAAACGTTCTTCATTTACGTCTGAACTACTGGTCAATAACCGTTCACTTTTACCAGCATCGCAGCTATAGAACCAAACAGTAAGCAGAACAAATAGAAATTGTAATTTCCAAAAGGCAGATGCCATTGCTATCGATCAACTATCTGGAATATTAAACTGTGTTTTTGAACTTCGCATGATAACCTCCTATCTATTACCCTTCATTTTCAAAATCGTGATTTATGATCTATTTCAGTCGATCGACTCTGGTTCGTCTGTTGAAGGTATAAAATACGGTGAAAAAATAGTTTTTCCTTAAGGGAAAGAAATAAATCTTGAAAATAATGGCAAATAACAACTTCAATCGATAAAAATCTGTTACATCAGGCAAACCGATAAGTATTATATTATGATTTTTTTAAAACCGTACAAATTTTAAATAGAAATGTTCTAAAGAAATTTTGTCCCCTTAGAAAAAAATATAGTATTACAAGACAGTATTCAATATGTGGGAAAGACGGGATGACAGTATTACAAAAGAAATTAAGAACACCTTTACCGCTTTCGTAGACCCAAAATATTCAAAAGTTTGGTATATCAACATTTAGATAAGCATAATCACAATCTTAAATTTATAAATTTCCAACCACTCGAAACAACCAGGAGAATCACACAAGCAATTTGAAAAACCACGTGAAGTTCGCGAATTATTTTGGATAAATAGACTTCAAACAGCTTATCCTCTCGGTCTCAATGACAAAATATTAGGACAGGGGAACATATCTAAAACTTCTATCGATGTCATTAATATTGTTGATAAACGACATAGAAATAATAGGTCTGATGGTAAACGCAAAAACCGTAATCAACGTATTAAAAATCATATAAATTATACACTTGCTGATCTGTTATCTATAATAAAAAAATAATGGCAGACATCAAGTATTATGCAAACTGAGTCTGATACCAATAAGTAAATTATATGCTATTTTTCTGGAGTGTGACAAAATTTCTTTTTTTAGCCCGTTTTATGAATACACCCGTATTATTACAGCCTTTTTTCATCACAGGCTGTTTCCTAGTATCGATAAACCTGAAAATCATAAACGACATTTTCTTAAATTAAAATATATACATAGAGGCATTGATTTTATTAACTTATCTAGCATATTCAATGACTCTTCCGTCTATAGCCAAATACCTCCATATTTTGATAATATAGAACCACCCATTATTTCGTATTCTTATAAAAAAACCGAGCAGAAGTTTGATTTTTAATTATACGTCAGTTACATCAGACGTCAATATAGAAAATAATGTTCCTTCCACTTGAGACTATGAAACATCTAGTTTTAGATATGTTCCCTATGGTCATGTTATTACAGGAGACCTCAACATCGTCGAAGACCGTGAGGTCAAAACTTTTCTAAAGAAAGGACCGAAATACCGTCCTCCATCTATAATAGATTGGAAACAGTGTCGTCAGGTCATTAAAGACGCTCTGTCTGCCTACTGTAAAAATTGGTGCAAACGTGAAAAATCTCTGATAAAAAATCTCTAGACAGTTATTTAAATAAAATTATGAATACTGTTAATATTCGAATATCTCATTTTGAAAACAATTCTGAAATTAATAATAGGGTCCATGATATTCCCATTTCTAGAATAAAAAATAAATTCCAAGTACTCGCAGAGCGGTTTGTGTTCGTACCGGCAGACAAGGCAGCCAATAATGTAGTGGTAGTATGACGCATATACTACACGGAAGTTCTTCAAAACGAAATTATCAATTCCTCTACATTCAGGTCCGTACGCACCACTGAGAGTCAAATCGTTAACAAGCATATCACTGCCACTACCCAGCTTAAATCATCTTCCGAACATTTGAAAGTCCCTACCATGTACTGGTTACCGAAATTACACAAAAAAACCATTTAAATTCCGTTTCATCTCCGCATCTAGTTAGTGTTCTACTACTAATATACCAGTGCTTCTTACTACCTCCCTTACTACTATCAAAGAACTGGTTATTAACTTTTGTAATAAAGCTTATGAAAATAATGGTATTAATTATTTTTGGGGTGTTAAAAATTCTTTAGAGGTTTTAGATAAAATACATGCTTTTGATGGTCCTTTTGGTTCTGTCGACAGTCATGATTTTTCTACTCTCTACACTACACTTCCACACAATCTAATAAAGAAAAAAAAAATCATATTTAATAAAATGGTCTTTCGAAAAATCTCATTGTAAATTTATTTGCTGTAACTCGTTTAAAGCTTTTTTCTGTGACGAAAAAGTAAAGTATGCTAGATACACTTACTGGAAATGTGAGGATATGATTGAAGCTTTAAATTTTCTCCTAGATAACATATATGTACGTTTCGGCGATAAGTGTATCGTCAGGTAGTAGGTATTCCAATGGGCACTAACTGCGCCCCTTTAATAGCAGATTTATTCCTGTATTGCTATGAATCTCAGTTTATGACCAAACTCAGTAGAGACACATCATTGTTACATTTGGTTGATACATTCAACAATACCTACCGTTATCTGGATGACATTTTTTCGTTAAATAATCCAGAGTTCTCTAAATATACTACCGAAATTTATCTAAAAGAACTTACTTTAACTAAATCCAACATAAACAGCAGCAGTTGTCCTTTTCTAGATTTAGACATTTCAATTTCTAAAGGGAAACTCCATACTAAAATTTACGACAAAAGAGACGATTTTCATTCCCTATTGTTAATTTTCCTTTTTTAGACGGCGATGTGCCTTTGGCTCCATCATACGGTGTTTATATATCCCAACTCGTTCGGTATGCCCGTGTGTGTAGTGATGTCATAGATTTTAACGAACGTAATCAATGCATCACTGGTAAATTATTAAGTCAGGGATTTCGTAACAATAATTACTTAAAACTTTTACTAAATTCTTTCATAGATACAAAGATTTGATAAGAAAATTAGGCTGTACCTTTAGAAAACTTATCAAAAATGGTATTTCACATCCTAAATTTTATGGTAATATTGTACTTAAAGCGCGGAAATCATTATGTGATCCGTGTAAACTCATCGAACCTTTAAACAAACTTATTAGTAAGGGTTATCGTACCAATGTTGTAATTAGATCTCTGAATATAGTTTACACTTGCACTAATATCGATTTTGTCATTAGCAAATTAAAACATAACTAAATTTGTATTTTCTTTTCAAACGGGATGTATAGAGACACACAAAAGTTCATTTTTATCTATAAAGAAGTCACTCCTAACTATCCTACTACCTGTTGATACATTTATTTTTGGCATTGCACAAGGCATGTCTTCTTTGACTGTTCATGACGTTAAAATACTAAATCCCTGGGATGTATTTTAGTTGATTTTAGTCTCTGATGCATGATTTTTTATTATTAATTGTTTTGGCTTTTAACTAGCTGTCAGTAACTGCGAGTTCTCTCAAATCGTACTTTCTTTTTAATTTGACCTGTTGATACTATTTGTAATGCTTTTTTTTTATTTAATTTTAACATGGATCTTGTCTATATACCAGCTTTGATTATTTGGTATTTAATTACTACAATTTTTCACTTCTTCGTACTATGAACATCAAAATTATTTCATTTTTCCTTAGATGCTGTTCTTGGACCTGTACAGGAAGTTTTATCTAGCACTAATTGTATATTTTTATTGTTGATATTCACCCCATATGTACCAAGGGTTAGATTAGTTTTATTGATATTAAAGAAATTTCTTGGTATTCCTAAACGGAAGATTTTATACACATTATTTTTGGTATATATGTTGTTTACTAATCATAATTTGTACAGAATATTTGTGTAATTCATCAGCATTTTGCCAAACACTTATAAAAAATCGGAAGATACTGGGACAATGAAAAATGCATAAGTCGAAGAGAAACCGACAACACCATGGAAAAAAACAAAAACATAACGAAACGACAAATACGATTCTATAAAACAAGAAATAGAAAACTTATGACTGAGCAACAATAAACCCACCTAGCACTTGGGGGTAAGGGTGAGCAGATCCTGCTCCATATAGACTCGTCGTGTTTTTCGTGGTATAACTAAGTACGCATTCGATTATAAGAGTCATTCGATGATGTAACAATCGAGGAAAGAAAGACGGGATTATGGCTTTGGCAATTAAAACATACTCGTGGTTATCTATAACACAGATATTTCCTAACGGTCAATTATTCAAGTCATGAGGGCGTCTGCTAAGCTTTCGAAGGGGGTTTCTTGGAACTCTTAGTTCAATAGCTTCCTTGTATGAAGCAACCCTATAGCAAAGGCATCATGAAAGGAAACGTACGATTTGAAATATCGTAACATGATTAGATAAAACAAGCACATTGTCTCTGATTTAGTTTATTACTGTCAAATGTTTCACATATACGGAAGATATAGTTTTATACATGACACTGAACAAATATTTAATAAGGACATTAATTCAAATGATAGACGTTGTAGTATATGTATATGGAAGCAAACAATAAAACTGGTTAAGGAAAGAAGGTGGGTGTTAAAATTCTGATTACTTGTACAAATATTCTACAAATTATACTTTTGTTTGTTTTACAAAATAACAACTTGCTCACAACATTTAAAGGGAATCTATACCGTCAATGCACTCGTTTAATATTTCTTACATAAAATTTCCAGCGTTTTGGACTAAGTGAATTGCCCATAATAAAAGCTTTTACATATTCAGTTTATTAACATACTAGTACATGTAATAATGAGGATATAATGTCTTCAATGTAAAATTTAGATGCTACTACCAGGGACAAATGAGGTTTTTAGGAAAGGGAGCGTATATTGCAAGCTGGATTTAAAGTAAGAAATATGATTTAAAAGTGATAACAGATGCTCAATGATTATATTGATGAACCCTTAATGCTATTTAAAATATTTATTCAAAATTAAAGCATAAACGTATATTCAAAAATGTACTGTATGATGGTTTTGTTATTTTATCAATGTGCATTAACTCGATTTCAAATATGAAAGTTCAACGTTTTCTCATCATGATGACAATTTTTAAAATTAATTCTACTTTTATCTGGTCTGTGCAGTTTTTGTTCATAAAAAACATTCATTAAAGAGAGCCAATGCAACTTTACATGAGTAAAAATATATACTAGTACTTTAATAGGCTTTCCTTAAACCAAGCTATTAAATAAGACAAAGAATAGTCGCCTAAGAAAAGTCCATAGTTTAATTACAATATTTCTACTTTAGAAAAAGATCATCTTTAAGTTATGTGACGCACATATATTAATAATGGATTAATATGACTCCGATTCTAATTAATAATGGGTCCTATCGCCTCGGAATAAGGTGGAGGAGCCTCGTCCCTTACAATGTCTTCATATTTTGGTGGTCCAATAATTTCAGTTGATTGATAACTAGGATAATTATAAAGTAAAGGACTGTTGATACTAGGTGATATTTCACCTGTCTGCTCCGAGGGATCCGGGTCTTTACAACATTTAAATATGAGTATGCAAACAAATATACCGATTAGATATGGGACAACAAAAAATGTTGACAGATAAACCCAAGTCCGACCTTTACAATCAGTCATTATATTATACTGTGCCATTGATCCCGTGTCATCTAAGTGAACGATAATATACTGAGGTTTTAAGTCCAAGGTAAATGCGCACTGAACAACAGAGGAATACGCATTTCGTGCGGCAGAAACATCGTATAATGTCCGGTTTATATGATATTTTGCTGTTGCCCATACATCCTCTAGAGGGCTTAAGTAAAAGATGAAATAATCAGCAGATTCTGAAACATTATAAAGAACCTCGTCGAAATCAGACGTCCGTAAACACTTATGTTGGTATACATTAATGGTCTTTTTTATACAGCTGTCACACGCAAAATTGTTGTCGATAAATTCCTTGAGATCGTGCTTTCCTTTAATTATATTCATTTGTATGAAACTATCTGCACAAACACCTACACTGATGACGGAACCACTAAGTAAATAGAATGAATGATATTTGTAGTCTTCCTGGTTTACATACATCGTCACTTCACTTGTAAAAGTCTGTACAAATGTCTCATTTATAATTGGTTCCGAATCTAAGATATAGGCAGAAAATGAGGATCTTAGATCACCGACACTTGTTATCGTCACACCTTCACAAAATAAGAAAGATAGACGATCTTTTATAGATCGGATATCTGTAGACGTAAAATATGTAGTATACGGTCCGAAAAATATCGCTCCAGTTATTATACCAAATGTCAAACAAAAGATATTTAAATAAATCATAAATAATCGAATTCTGATAGAACGACGCATCTTTTTAAAGCAAAATGCATATCCTAGTACTGAACATCCAACACAGCAACATGATGCACAACAATCATCACAATCATCCTCCATCGCAGGATAACTAGATTTTACCTAGAGATTTTCTGAAAACAGACAAATATAATTTTAGTTTCACTTTAAGAATTGTATGCACACCTGTTTTCAACAAAACTATGAGAAATACTTACTCTTTGTAACATGTTATATTTGATACGTTCGCAAACTTAGTGTTCGTAAACAAGGTCAATATGTCAAAAAAATTTGGAAGAGGATTTGGAAATGCTTAACCTTTCGACTCTTTAAGAATTTTCGTTTCTGGCCATACACAATCAATGATTGGTTACGAAATGTTGATACACAGAACATGTATATACAATATTAGGTGAGTTTGACGTATTGCAACACTGTAATACATAATAGTTAATAATAGCTATTATAATAGTTGATTTTAGAATATGACCATGTCAAAATTTATAGCTTTGCTAGCAAATGGCCTTTTACTGGCCTGCTACAACACCAACAACTATAGTTGATTTAAAAATATGGCCAGTAACAACACTTATAGTTAAAGCTAAAGATGACTGTTTTTTCATAACTTGAAGAGTATAGGAATTAAGGCTTTAGAATAAGACCAGTCACAACACAAATAGCTATAAAGCTATTTTGAAATATGGCCTTCGACAAAACATATGGCTATCATAATTGATTGTAGAATGCCAGATCAAATTAACGTTCAAATAAAAGTAAAATAACAAAAATACCGAACTCCAAGGAAAATTCAAAACGGAAAGTCTCTTATCAAATACCAAAATCAAAAGCTCAAACACATCAAATGAACAATGGAAAATAACTGTCATATTCCTGACTTGGTATACAGGTATTTTCTTATGTAGAACATGGTGGATTAATCTTGGTTATATATATAGCTAGCTAAACCTCTCGCTTGTATGACTTTTTATTATTAATTTAGAATTTATTTCAACACAAGTTTGCAAGTATCAAGTGTTCTATTTGATAATTATTGTCTTTTTGATTTTATGTTTATTAAAGTCATTCTTACTACTACACAATTTTGCAAATACTTAATTTTTGTTTCTAATTTTTAAAGAGTAATATTTAATGCTTAACGATACTGACTGTATTTTACCTGTTATTAATTAATAATTGTTATAACAACATGTTGTATTTTGTTTGTAAAAATGGGTTGAATATATATTTATCAAATGTTGGTATACGTTGAAGACACCACAGCAGTCAACATTGTGCTATAATCTTAATCACTATAAAACAAAAAAAAACTGTGTCAACAAAGAAAAACAAAATGGCATATAGACACTCAAGCAAAAATAAAAAAAAAACCCCAAGAATATCAAAAATAACCAAAGCACAATAACACAATTGCGGGATGTATAAATACCGAGCCACGTCAAAAGGATATCACCAAAAATAGACTAAACAGTAAATGTTGAAAAAATAGATACAAAGACAAATAAAAAAAGAACACGTAATTAAGATGGTAAACAACGTCAGTACCTAGAAATTACACTTCAAGACCATCATGTATGATTTGTGAAGTTAATACGGAATATTTATCAACTAGGTATTGATATCTTCCGATGAACTTTTTTTTTGGAAAAAGGACGGGACGTTCTTTGACATAACCCTGGTTCATCAACTTTCTGCTCAGACACTGGGGACGATTTATAAAGACTGAATAACAGCTGCAAGCTCTTGAATACCGAATGAGTATATTTTTTAGTCGAACCGATTTTAAAATATAAATTGTGTGGCACCCTTGTAACAAGAAATCCTAGATCGTCCCTGATGTTTTAACGCCTTACCTTCTCCGGGTCAGACTCGCAATATGTATTTTACTTAGATGAATCAGAAAATTCCAAGCCAGGTTGCAACAAAATCATTGTTAACATCGTCAGTCTTGGTTACAACAGATATATCATATACGCGTCAAGGCTTTGTATGTTTATCATATAAGTTATATTTATTAATTTATGTACGGCAAATAATGGTTTATCATTTTATAGTAAATGATAAATACTAGTATATGATAAGCTATAAATCGGTTAAATCGTATCAAAATATAATACACTAACCATTTTTATAAAAACTAGACAACGTGATGCCCCCGCACTCCACTCTGAAGTATCTGTATTATAACAAAGTAAATGTAGGACTTTTTTTGATATATTATTGTGTCTGGGAGACACAAATGATGCCCCCGCAGATGCAAAGTGTTATTTTAAAATACACAAAGTTGAGCATGTGAGCACATAGGTCTATGGTTCCATGTATGAGGAGTTATCCGGAAACTCTATGCACCTCTTATGCGAGTATATAATCCAATTTGACAAAGTTCAACTATCTCCCAAAAGAGCAAATGTTAATAAAAATCAAAACCCTGACCACATGCACACCTTCAATATATGTAAAAACAGCCAGCAAAGTGAAAACTTCCTAGCATTCAAACTGTAGCAGGTTTTATAATGGGACGGAAGAACAGACGGACGGACAGGGGTAAAACAATATACCCCCCAACTTTTAGTTGCGGGGGCATAAACAAATGGTGGAGAGTTGTCTCATTGGCAGTTATACCACATCCTCTTATTTTAATATTAAATTCTATCACTAGTTTTATCGCTATGGTCAAACATATAAAGTACAGTATAAAGGAATTATCACAAGAATAGACCGCTAACCTGAATAATCTTATTATGTAATAATGACCCGATGTTTTTTTGCCATTTAATATTCGTCATTCGACTTATAAATATAACCTCTATAAACTAAAGTCAGTTCGGATAGAAGCTCAAATAATACGTGTATAAAAATTCTGTTAACTATCACTGTCTGTTCGGGTAGAAGCTGTCGTCGTGTAAAACTCTGTAGACTACTTCGTTTTTAAAGAATCCGGTCGTAAGCAACTGTACTAGAATAATGATTATTGAGGGGTAAAAACCTTCAACATGATAGCGACAAATAAGCTGAGACGCTAAACATAGCAGTGAACTGTGTATGATAAACAATACACCATACAATAACCATCGAACAAATTTGGACATATGTGATCACTTGCCAATATACAGTTTTTCAGTCCACTTTAAAACTTGAAATCATGACCGCTATATAGATAATGATAATAATGATTATAATAATGATAAAAATAAAATAATAATATCTAGTTCGTTTGAATTGAAGAAAATAACAGAGGGGAACTATTATAATGATAATATAGCTCTTCCTTTAAATAGTTCAAATACTTATAATCATAACACGGTCAGGAAATATAAATGAAGTTTTATCAACTGCAGTTTCAAGCTAATAACTAATTTCCTGAAAATGGTTTGTTTGATATTATTGAGGTTAAGATGATACAATTATTCATTACATTTCATATACATGTCGTACTGAATAAGCATGAAATATTCGCCACTGGAGTCATACAAACAACGATTAATCAATTTATACAATCACACGAGAAATGTACAACTATTTCACTGAAATTTAATGACAATATTCATGCAAAACATAAAAGGATCTTAAATTGTATAAATAAATGTATTTTTACGGAATATTATCAAAATAAAAAAATGTATTTACATTTTACTCAACCCATATTTTTTTCCAAATTTTTCTTTATCGATTATTATAAATTTCATAAAATGTCTCTCTTTTCGTAACAGTTCTTTTTAAGATACCTGTACAACTGTACACTATATATTTCCGTCAATGTTTCAAAGTCTTTTGGTAAAGTTTAAGAATTAAATTTGATTATGTTTAACTTCAATAACTTAAATGATATCTACATACCTTAATTAGCAATGATTTTACCTAAATATTAGATATTTAGTGAACGAGCATACTTCCGCAATTTTATCTATAAATAACTTTAAAATTCCATAAGTAGAGTGGGGATTTACTTTAACCTGTAATTTTTCTCATTGGACATTTGTATAAAACGGAACAAGAGTTAATGGAATGAAATAATTGTTTTCCACGAACATGTGTTTCGTATGACAGCTTAGACCTGTCACCATAACTACTGCGCGGTTCGTGCTCATGTGTAAAAAAATATAGTGTTACTCAATTGATTAAATACAGATCCTGTTTTCACGCTTCACTAACAAGGAAGCGTGGACACAGATTGGTATTTTAATCACATTGTAGTTTTATTATTAAAGGGAAAGCTACCTGTCAATAATAACTTAGCACGGATGTATTTAATGCTTAAATTCCTGTATTCATTTGAAAGTTGGGAAACCTTTGACTTTTTCCTAATTGATAATAGGCTTACTTATTTTGAAAGTTAAAAATATGATTTCAGTAACACGTGACAAAAGCTTTGATAAGGATATATTAATTTTCAACCTTCATTGGTTAGATTTACACTACAATATAACATTACACTGAATTCGATCGTAATAAGTTATGCGTATGTAAAAAAAATGGCTCATAAGTTAAAGGGTACATCCTTTATGACTTTCATTTGAGTATTCTGAACAAGATAACCACATTAATGGTCTATTTAGAGCATGATCCATCGCGTGGTCGATTTGGGACATGACACATCGTATTGTCATTTCGAAGCATGACACAGCTTATTGTCGATTTGGAGCATGACACATCGTATGGTCGATGGTTGATTAAGAACATGACACATCGTATTGTCGATTTGGAGCATGAACCATCGTATGGTCGATTTGTAACATGACACATTGTATTTTCGATTTGGAGCATGAACCATCGTATTGTCAATTTGGAGCATGACACATCGTATTGTCGATTAGGAGCATGAACCATCGTTTGGTCGATTTGGAACATGACACAACTTATTGTCGATTTAGAGCATGATACATCGTATTGTCGATTTGAAGCATGACACACTGTATGGTCTATTTTGAACATGACACATCGCATTGTCGATTTGTAGCATGATACCGGTACATCGTATGGTCGATTTAAGGTATATACATCGTATGCTCGATTTTAAGCATGACACATCATAGTATGCTAGATTTGAGGTACGACACATTATTGTACAGTCAATGAGGCATGACAAATCGTATGGTCGATTCAAGGCATGATAATCGTATGGTCGATTGAGACATGGCACATTGTATGGTCGATTTGAAGCATGACACATCATTTACGGTAGATTTGAGACATAACACATCGTCTGGTAGACGTGGCGCATGATATCACATCACCAAATGGTCGCTTTGAGGCATATGATATCACATCACCAAATGGTCGCTTTGAGGCATAACACATAGTATGGTCGATATGAGGCATGACACATCATCGCATGGTCGATATGAGGCATGACACATAGTTTGATCGATATGAGGAATGACAGATCGTATGGTCGATTAGAGGCATGACACATCGTATGGACGATTTGAGACATGACACATCATTGTACGATAGATATGAGGCATGGACCTATATACGAAGGCTTATTTTATAAGACTAACATTTCATATTGAAAATTAAACTTACACCTGCATTTTGGTGAAACAGAACTTGCTGGAGCAAGAGGAGCCCACTCATCGGGAACAACTGATTGCAATCCAATATCAGGGATATGCGCGAAAATATCCATAAAAATCTAGTTATTTGATCTTGAGGTCATTTTGTCACACGAAGGTCATGATGATATGCGACACATAGTCTTGAAGTGATACACGTTCATATCATGCATTTTCACAGACTTTCGAAAAGTTATCTTTTCAGTAGTGTGTCAAAATCGGAACATGCATGCAGCGCATTTTTATGGCGAACTTTCCTTGAAAATTTAAGTACTTGCTTTGATAAGCTTTGAAAACATGTCACGCAGTAGTTACATAATTATTTCTACCATATTTGTCGGCTTTGGAGTCAAAACGCACAAGAAACAGCACGTACAATAATTTGCCCTGATCGGTATAAAACAAAGACAATTAACGAATCATGACGAAATTCAGAGTTTATTCCTTAACCGTCTATAAATGAAATATAACAACTTGTTTCTCATTAGTTGTGATAACATGTTTATGAATTACGTGTAAGCATCGTGAAATACTCAGTGTAACTCAAATTTGGTTACACTATGAATTAAAGCATGGTATATTGACTCGAAAACTAAAAGTGAACGTGCGTTTTGTGATTTTTTTGTGGTTTAAATTCATAATAGGTGTTCATGTAATATAAGCAATATACAATGCTAGCATGCTGGCAGGACGCAGTAAACTTTGTTTTTGATCATTAACATTGAGAACATACTGTTACGGCCATAAGTATTTGAAGAAATAATATTTGGACGTTCTAGCTACCAATTTCGCTTCGATACGCAACAACAAATGTTAGTAGTTTATATACCCGTGATATAAATCATTAAAACTTGTAACAACAAACTGTTTTCAATATATCATTGTAATTTCAAAATTACGTATTTGCTTATTTGTAACAACAATATCCAAGACATTCAAACATAAATTAAGGTGACTCAATTGTTACTTGAACGTTTTTTTACTGTGTATGATTCTTAGTCTATTAAAGATCCATGTGACATATAAATTATCCAAAGTCATTCGAGCATGTTCAAGATATACACACTGATGTAGTTGCATCGATACGTAATGTATAGCACCTTAGATATCAACCCAAACTGAAAACGTAACAAGTCAATGAGGCGTGAAATGTAGGTCTTTGCGCCTTTTATTATACAAGTTGCATCCATTAATGACATTTTTTGAGTATGTGATGTATAGTACCCTAGATATAGACTGAAACCGAAACTTAAGCAGAGTTGTCGGTGGCTGTGGATGAGCTTAACTGTCCAAGATGTGTGTATTTAATGATAAAATGTCATTGGAATTGATAAATTTTAACTTACACATATATTCGGACTAATTATTAGAAAAAATAAGAATAATAATAAATGCTATCTTTACGGAATTCATTTTCGTAATTTGTAAGACTTTCATATACAAAGTCCAAATATCTAAATATATGATATACTTATATGATATGAATGTTGGTGAACTTTGAATATTGTATGTTTTTAAATGTTATCAAGTTTGTCTTGGTAACAACCCAATATTTCGATTTTACACCAATAAAATAATTTACAAAGTAAGCATTATCAAATCCTACTGACTTTATTTAGTTGGTGGAACGGCTGAATTAAGACTCTGTTTGAGGAAGATTCCTACTATGAAAATGCATCGCATATACAATAGAAATGAATCGCCCTACAGTGAACAAGATCATTATTCGACAGTAAACATGAATCGCATATCGAAAGCAGCATAGCGGAATTTAATTCAATATCAACAAACTGAATGACAAAACCAGTTTTAAGTTATACAACATTAACGATTATGTTTTTTTCTGAAAATAAAACTTAATTGCTGCTTTTAAATCTCCTGTATGCTCTGTTCGTGAAATACTCTTAATATTCACATATTTGTGTATCGATTTCACATCTGGATGGATCTGCATCTCTGATGTGTATCATGAATTTATTAAAACATCGCATTTGACATATTATTTCTTTTATTCAAAAACCATCAATTATTCGTCTGTTTTTATCATTCTACATCAGAAAAACATGACAGATACAGTAAAAATGGTATTTCAGGATTCGCACCTAATTGAAATTCAAATATTGTATTGGATAAAGCGCATATAAATATGACATTGTGTAATCCAAGTGTACAGCATACATGACATATACAACATGACAAATAATGTAAATAAAACATAATGCATAAAAAGAGAAAATTAGTGACAATGAATTATATGCTATATATATGTAACTAAGTCTTTGTTATTGTATAGTACTTCCATACCTTATGGTAGACCAACTGACATCAGCGTTATTAAGAACTTCAAAAGCTTGTCTCATATAATTACATAAATAAGAAGATGTGGCATGAGTGCCAATGAGACAACTCTCCATCCATATTTGTTTGGCATTAGCCAAATTATTTGGATTAAGTAAATAAACTTCTCGCGAAGGTTTTTATGTAGGGGACAATATAAAAGGAAGTAAACTTCATCTTCTACATTATCTCCGAAAGACTTGCAGAATCTTTCCGTTGCTAAAGTCTTTGGTTAATTGTATCTCTCAGTTTCAAGGGCAAGTGAATAAGCACTTATTCTTTTTTTGTGAGAAGTGATCTCTCATATTTTGGTATTTCATAGCTTAGGTAAGCTTTTAATTTTTTTATCGTTACCAACTTCAATGTCATTTATTCTGGCATAATGATTAAACATTAATTCATATAATATAAAATATAATGGGAAAAGCTCAAGTTCTGTACATAAAGCTAGATTGGAAGCCTTACCATGGACACAGAGAATATTTTTCATAATCATATTCTGAACCTTTTTCAAATGGCAGTTTATCTGCAGTGTCTTGGTTTATATTAAAATCTGAGATCCAAATTTCAGACCCATAAGTCATTATAGGTGAAATTAATGAGTTGAAAAGTCTCACACATTTTTCCACTGCAATCCTGTTAGAATATCGTAATTTTGATTTTAAGGCAATATATGCCGTGCGTTCTTTATCAGCAAGATTTTCAGCTGCTATGATAGTTAGTTTACCTTTATTGTTGAAGACAATACCTAGGTACTTATATTCTGCATGTAGAAGATTCTAATGGTTGTGGACCAAAATAAAAACAATTTCTGTCTATTATCGATCTATTTTTGCTATAAGAATAAATCATAATCTGAGTTTTCTTGGCGTTCACACTAATACCCCAATCACTACAGAAGGACTGTAAGACATCCACACAGTGCTGCAAGCCAGTAGGTGTGTCTGAGATTTAGATCAAATCATCTGAATAAAGAAGATGCTTAAAAT